CCCGTGTCCCCCAGCCCCACTGACCTCTGCAGCAGCACCAGGATGCTGGGGAGCAGATTCTCGTTCTGGGCCCCAAACTTGGCCAGAGCACTGACAGCAGCTGCAGAGAGAACAGGCAGGGTCAGAGCAGCCCAGGTTCTGCACAAACTCATCCTCACAGCCCTGAAATTCCAATTAATGCAGCTCTTGCACACCAGAAACCTCTCAGTGATAGGGAAAGACTCAACTATTCCTGTATTTCCACATGGAAATAATTCTGTGATCAAGCTCTGGAAACCAGCTGCAATCTGCTTTCCAAGAAACCCCTTTGATGTTTTTCTCCCAAATTTCTCCTAAACCAGGACACTCCCCACTAAAATCATCTCCAATTCCATTTCCAGGTTGAGGGAAAGGTGTGATAATTTACTTTGGAAGGAATTTGAGATGAGATTTTTGAATTGTTCTGGATGATTTGGTTTATTGTTCACACAGGTAGGAAGGTGAATTTGGTTTATATTGTTACAGTTTGGTTTAGAAGGCTACAAGATTCTTTTTAAGGCTCTATTGACTAATAAAACACTGTTAATAAGGATATTTATGGTTTTGACATAATCTTTAAATATTTTGTTTTATGGATTTATGTTATAGTGTAAACTTTTTTAGTTAATTATGTTATGACACAAACTTACAGTACTGCATTCTAAACTCTTTATCTCTGTTAACTGGTTTTTTTTCTATATCTTCAACTTTAAAACTCTAAACTTTGCTTATTTTAATGTGTCTCTGCTCTAAACTATAAATTCATATTCTCACTTTTAGCACTTAAGTTTGGAAGTTTTTTCTAAGGTCTCAGATCAAGTTTTGTGTTTAATTCTAAGCTTTGGCTCACAGCCCCAAAGTTCTGAGAGTTCTTTGCATGTGGGATTTAACAAAAAGGCAAAGAGCCAGAACTGCAGGCCTGGAGCTGCACTAACCAGCTCTGACAGACTTGTTCTCCTCACTCAATGGGGTTTTTGAGAAACCCCTATGAAGGTTTTCTCCCAAATTAACATTAAACCAGGTCACCTTTCTAAAATTATCTCAAATTTCCTTTCCAGTTTGAGGAAAAGGCAATGAGCCACAACTCCATGCCTGCAGCTGCACTCACCAGCCCTGACAGACTCATTGCCCTCTCTCAAAGGGGTGTTTGAGAAACTTCTTTGGAATTTCTCCCAAATTTGCCCTAAAACTAAGATACCTTTCTAAAATTATCTCAAATTTCCTTTCCAGGTTGAGGAAAAGGCAAAAAGCCAGAATTCCATGTCTGGAGCTGCACTCACCAGCCCTGACAGCCTCATTCCTCTCTCCCAAAGGGGTTTTTGAGAAATCTCTTTGAAATTTCTCCCAGATTTACCCTAAACCAGGACACCTTGCTACAATTATCTCAAATTTCCTTTCCAGTTTGAGGAAAGGCAAGGAGGCAGAATACAAGGCCTGGAATTCTCACAACCCTCACAGACTCGTTGCCCTCTCTCAATGGGGTTTTTGAGAAAGCCCTTTGGAGATTTTCTCCCAAATTTGCCCTAAAACCAAGACACCTTACTACAATTATCTCAAATTTCCTTTCCAGGTTGAGAAAAGTCAATGAGCCACAACTGCAGGCCTGCAGCTGCACTCACCAGCCCTGACAGACTCATTGCCCTCTCTCAAAGGGGTTTTGAGAAAGCCCTTTGGAGATTTTCTCCCAAATTTGCCCTAAAACCAGGACACCTTACTACAATTACCTCAAATTTCCTTTCCAGTTTGAGGAAAGGCAAGGAGACAGAACTGCAGACCTGCAGCTGCACTCACCAGCCCTCACAGACTCATTGCCCTCTCTCAAAGGGGTTTTTGAGAAAGCCCTTTGGAGATTTTCTCCCAGATTTGCCCTAAAACCAAGACACCTTTCTAAAATTATCTCAGATTTCACTTCCACTTTGAGGAAAAGGCAATGAGCCACAACTCCTTGAGCTGCACTAACCTGGAGCTGCACTAACCAGCCCTGACAGCCTCATTGCCCTCTCTCAAAGGGGTTTTTGAGAAAGCCCTTTGGAGATTTTCTCCCAAATTAACCTTAAACCAGGTCACCTTTCTAAACCTATCTCAAATTTCCTTTCCAGGTTGAGGAAAAGGCAAGGAGGCAGAATTCCATGCCTGGAGCTGCACTCACCAGCTCTGACAGACTTGTTCTCCTCTCTCAAAGGGGTTTTTGAGAAACTTCTTTGGAATTTCTCCCAGATTTACCCTAAACCAGGACACCTTTCTAAAATTATCTCAAATTTCCTTTCCAGTTTGAGGAAAGGCAAGGAGCCAGAACTCCAGGCCTGGAGCTGCACTCACCAGCCCTCACAGACTCATTGCCCTCTCTCAAAAGGGTTTTTGAGAAATCCCTTTGGAGAAAGCCCTTTGGAGATTTTCTCCCAAATTTGCCCTAAAACCAAGACACCTTACTACAATTATCTCAGATTTCACTTCCAGTTTGAGGAAAAGGCAAGGAGCCAGAATACAAGGCCTGGAATTCTCACAGCCCTCACAGGCTCGTTGCCCTCTCTCAAAGGGGTTTTTGAGAAATCCCTTTGAAGATTTTCTCCCAAATTTGCCCTAAAACCAGGACACCATACTACAATTATCTCACATTTCCTTTCCAGTTTGAGGAAAGGCAATGAGCTAGAACTGCAGACCTGGAGCTGCACTCACCAGCCCTGACAGACTCATTCTCCTCTCTCAATGGGGTTTTTGAGAAACCTCGTTGGAATTTCTCCCAGATTTACCCTAAAACCAAGACACCTTCCTAAAATTATCTCAGATTTCACTTCCACTTTGAGCAAAAGGCAATGAGCCAGAACTGCAGGCCTGGAATTCTCACAGCCCTCACAGCCTCGTTCTCCAGCACCACCCTGGGGCCTTGGGGCCCTCCTTACCCAGCAGGTTCAGGATCTTGGTGGCCAGCACGGTGTGGGACTGCTTGAGTCTTTCTAGAGAAACCCCTTTGGAGATTATAGAGGAGCCCCTTTGAAGGTTTTCTCCCAGATTTACCCTAAACCAGGAAACCTCTCTAAATTTTTCAAATTCCATTCCCAGTTTGAGGAAAGGCAAGGAGGCAGAACTGCAGACCTGGATCTGCACTCACCAGCCCTGACAGCCTCGTTCTCCAGCACCACCCTGTTGAAGATGAAGCGGATGTACTTGGAGGGGCAGGGGGTCCTGGGCCCCTCCTTGCCCAGCAGGTGCAGGATCTTGGTGGCCAGCACGGTGTGCTCGCAGTCCTCGATGAACTCGCACAGGTGGGCCAGCCCGGCCTCCTTGCTCTCGGGGTTCTCCTCGATGATGCTGATGATGCAGTCCACGATGGCTCTCTTGTACTCAAAGCCACCCTGCAAGGGGACACGGGGACACTGAGTGTGGGTTTGGGCCATGCTGAGCCCATTGGTGCTTCACTGACTGCTGCCCATGGAGAAAACAATCCTGTGTGCAAACTGGGGGGGAAAATGGGCTGGATGTGCTGGCAGGGCACTCCCAGCCCTCTGAGCATCCTCAGCGTTAGGATTTTATCTTTTGTGGTTTTCAAATTCTGGGCTGCTTTAGGTAGAACTCCAAACTCAGGATTTTAACTTTTATGTTTTTCAACCCCTGGGCTGCTTTAGGTAGAACTCCAAACTCAGGATTTTAGCTTTTGTGGTTTTCAAACCCTGAACTCCAAACTCAGGATTTTAACTTCTGTGGTTTTCAAACTCTGGACTCCAAACTCAGGATTTTAGCTTTTGTGGTTTTCAATCCCTGGGCTGCTTTAGGTAGAACTCCAAACTCAGGATTTTAACTTTTATGGTTTTCAAACTCCGTATTACTTTAGGTAGAACTCCAAACTCAGGATTTTAGCTTTTGTGGTTCTCCATCCGTGGGCTGCTTTTGGTATAACTCCAAACTCAGGATTTTAACTTTTATGTTTTCAACCCCTGCACTGCTTTAGGTAGAACTCCAAACTCAGGATTTTAGCTTTTGTGGTTTTCAACCCCTGGACTGCTTTAGGTATAAATCCAAACTCAGGATTTTAACTTTTGTGGTTTTCAAACTCTGGACTCCAAACTCGGGATTTTAACTTTTATGTTTTTCAAACTCTGTATTGCTTTAGTTAGAACTCCAAACTCAGGATTTTAACTTTTGTGGTTTTCAAACTCTGGACTCCAAACTCAGGATTTTAACTTTTATGTTTTTCAACCCCTGGACTGCTTTAGAAACTCAGGATTTTAGCTTTTGTGGTTTTCAAACCCTGGACTGCTTTAGGTAGAACTCCAAACTCAGGATTTTAGCTTTTTTATTCCTTTATATTTGTCTAGCCTCTGTTATAAGTAGCCTCTCAAGGCATCAGGTGTATCCATGCAGGTCTTTAATAAATCCCTATTTTATTCCTTTAACTCTGCCCAGCCTCTGTTCTAGGTGGCCTCTGTACCTATTGAAGGCCTTTAATAAATCCCTATTTTATTCTTTATTTTTGTCTAGCCTCTGTTCTAGATAGCCTTTATACCTATTGAAGACCTTTAATAAATCCCAATTTTATTCCTTTATTTTTGTCCAGCCTCTGCTCTAGGTGGCCTCTATACCTATTGAAGACCTTTAATAAATCCCAATTTTATTCCTTTAACTCTGCCCAGCCTCTGTTATAAGTAGCCTCTTAAGACATGAGGTGTATCCATTAAGGCCTTTAATAAATCCCTCTCAAGAAACCAGAAGTACCCATTGAAAACCTTTAATAAATCCCTATTTTATTCCTTTATATTTGTCTAGCCTCTGTTATAAGTAGCCTCTCAAGGCATGAGGTGTATCTATGGAGGCCTTTAACAAATCTCTATTTTTTTCCTTTATTTTTGTCTAGCTTCTGTTCCAGGCAGCCTCTATACCTATTGAGGCCTTTAATAAATCCCAATTTTATTCCTTTAACTCTGTCCGGCCTCTGTTCCAGGCAGCCTCTGTACCCATTGAAGGTCTTTAATAAATCCCAATTTTATTCCTTTATTTCTGTCTAGCCTGTGTTCTAGAGAGCCTCTCAAGGCACCAGGAATACCTATTGAAGACCTTTAATAAATCCCAATTTTATTCCTTTATTTTTGTCCAGCCTCTGTTCCAGGCAGCCTCTGTACCCATTGAAGGCCTTTAATAAATCCCAATTTTATTCTTTTAATTGTCCAGCCTCTGTTCCAGGCAGCCTCTGTACCTATTGAAGGCCTTTAATAAATCCCTATTTTATTCCTTTAACTCTGCCCAGCCTCTGTTCTAGGTGGCCTCTCAAGGCACCAGGAGTACCCACTGAAAACCTTTAATAAATCCCAATTTTATTCCTTTATATTTGTCTAGCCTCTGTTCTAGGGAGCCTCTCAAGGCATGAGGTGTATCCATTAAGGCCTTTAATAAATCCCAATTTTATTCCTTTATTTTTGTCTAGCCTCTGTTCCAGGCAGCCTCCATACCTATGGAAGACCTTCAATAAATCCCAATTTTACTCCTTTAACTCTGCCCAGCCTGTTCTCTATGGCGCCCCTGAAGGCCTCACCCACTCCCAAGCATTTCCCACAGCCCTGAGCCAGCAGGACCTGCAATCCCTCATTCCCCACTGACAGAAGGGACCCTTCCCATGACCCAGCAGGCCCAAAATGTGCCCAAACCGTGCCAGAGCAGCAGCCCCACGTACATCATCCCTGAGCATGTTGGACAGGAAGGTCATCATCACACCATGCTTGCGCGGGTACTTCTGGCACAGGGCACTGATGGCCTGCACCACCACCACCTGAGGGGACACACAGGGACAGGGTCATGGATCAGATCCTGGGAAAATCACAGCTCAGTGAATCCATGGGCAAGGAGAAAAAGCAGCTGGTGGATTCTCAGGGTTTGTGCAAAGGCTGGTCTGCGAAAAAAAAATGGAATTTTTTTCCATCTTTAACATTCCATTGTTAACATTTTTAACATTCCAATGTGTTAACTCAAAGTCTCCTTCCCTTTCCTTTCCCCTTTCCTTGAAATTTCCTTGAAATTTCCCCTTCCCTTTCCTTTCTTTTCCCTTTCCCTTTCCCTTTCCCTTTCCCTTTCCCTTTCCCTTTCCCTTTCCCTTTCCCTTTCCTTGAAATTTCCTTTCCTTGAAATTTCCTTTCCTTTCCTTGCCCACCACCTGAGGGGACACACAGGGACAGGGTCACGGATCAGCTCCTGGGAAAAGCACAGCTCAGTCAATCCATGTGCAAGGAGAAAAAGCAGCTGGTGGATTCTCAGGGTTTGTGCAAAGGCTGGCTCTGAGAAAAAGAAATGGAATTTAGATGGAATGTGTTAACTTAAAGTCCCCTTCCCTTTACTTTCCCCTTTCCTTTCCCCTTCCCTTTCCTTTCCCCTTTCCTTTTCCCTTTCCTTGAAATTTCCTTGAAATTTCCCCTTTCCTTTCCTTTCCTTTCCTTTCCTTTCCTTTCCTTTCCTTTCCTTTCCTTTCCTTTCCTTTCCTTTCCTTTCCTTTCCTTTCCTTTNTTATTCCTTTAACTCTGCCTAGCCTCTGTTCCAGGCAGCCTCTGTACCCATTGAAGGTCTTTAATAAATCCCAATTTTATTCCTTTAACTCTGCCCAGCCTCTGTTCTAGGTGGCCTCTGTATCTATTGAAAGCCTTTAACAAATCCCTATTTAATTCCTTTATTTTTGTATAGCCTCTATACCTATTGAAGGCCTTTAACAAATCCCAATTTTATTCTTTATATTTGTCTAGCCTCTGTTCTAGGGAGCCTCTCAAGGCATGAGGTGTATCCATGGAGGCTTTTAATAAATCCCTATTTTATTCCTTTATTTTTGTCTTCAAGGCAGCCTCTGTACCCATCGAAGACCTTTAATAAATCCCAATTTTATTCCTTTAACTCTGCCCAGCCTCTGTTCTAGGTGGCCTCTCAAGGCACCAGGAGTACGCATTGAAAACCTTTAATAAATCCCTATTTTATTCCTTTATTTTTGTCTTCAAGGCAGCCTCTGCACCCATTGAAGGCCTTTAATAAATCTCTCTTTTATTCCTTTATTTTTGTCCAGCCTCTGTTCCAGGCAGCCTCTGTACCTATTGAAGGCCTTTAATAAATCCCTATTTTATTCTTTATATTTGTCTAGCCTCTGTTCTAGGGAGCCTCTATACCTATTGAAGGCCTTTAATAAATCCCAATTTTATTCCTTTAACTCTGCCCAGCCTCTGTTATAAGTAGCCTCTTAAGACATGAGGTGTATCCATTAAAGGCCTTTAAAAAATCCCTCTCAAGGCACCAGAAGTACCCATTGAAAACCTTTAATAAATCCCAATTTTATTCCTTTATATTTGTCTAGCCTCTGATATAAGTAGCCTCTCAAGGCATGAGGTGTATCTATGGAGGCCTTTAATAAATCTCTATTTTATTCCTTTATTTTTGTCTAGCCTCTGTTCTAGATAGCCTCTATACCTATTGAAGACCTTTAATAAATCCCAATTTTATTCCTTTAACTGTCCAGCCTCTGTTCTAGGGAGCTTCTGTACCTATTGAAGACCTTTAATAAATCCCAATTTTATTCCTTTATTTTTGTCTTCAAGGCAGCCTCTGTACCTATCGAAGGCCTTTAACAAATCCCTATTTTATTCTTTATATTTGTCTAGCCTCTGTTATAAGTAGCCTCTCAAGGCATGAGGTGTATCCATTAAGGCCTTTAATAAATCCCTATTTTATTCCTTTATTTTTGTCTTCAAGGCAGCCTCTGTACCCATCGAAGACCTTTAACAAATCCCAATTTTACTCCTTTAACTCTGCCCAGCCTCTGTTCTAGGTGGCCTCTGTACCCATTGAAGGCCTTTAATAAATCCCAATTTTATTCCTTTATTTTTGTCTAGCCTCTGTTCTAGATAGCCTGTATACCTATTGAAGACCTTTAATAAATCCCGATTTTATTCCTTTAACTCTGTCCAGCCTCTGTTCCAGGCAGCCTCTCAAGGCCTGAGGTGTATCCATGGAGGCCTTTAACAAATCCCTATTTTATTCCTTTATTTTTGTCTTCCAGGCAGCCTCTGTACCTATTGAAGGCCTTTAATAAATCCCTATTTTATTCCTTTATATTTGTCTAGCCTCTGTTATAAGTAGCCTCTCAAGGCATGAGGTGTATCCATTAAGGCCTTTAATAAATCCCTATTTTATTCCTTTAACTCTGCCCAGCCTCTGTTCTAGGTGGCCTCTGTATCTATTGAAAACCTTTAATAAATCCCTCTTTTATTCCTTTATTTCTGTCTAGCCTCTGTTCTAGGTGGCCTCTGTATCTATTGAAAGCCTCTAACAAATCCCTATTTTATTCTTTATATTTGTCCAGCCTCTGTTCTAGGGAGCCTCTACACCTATTGAAGACCTTTAATAAATCCCTCTTTTATTCCTTTAACTGTCCAGTCTCTGTTCCAGGCAGCCTCTGTACCTATTGAAGGCCTTTAACAAATCCCTATTTTATTCTTTATATTGGTCTAGCGTCTGTTCTAGGGAGCCTCTCAAGGCCTGAGGTGTATCCACGGAGGCCTTTAATAAATCCCAATTTTATTCCTTTATTTTTGTCTAGCCTCTGTTATAAGTAGCCTCTCAAGGCATGAGGTGTATCCATTAAGGCCTTTAATAAATCCCAATTTTATTCCTTTATTTTTGTCT